CCCTCTGAGCAGGGAGCCTGATGCGGGGCTCGATCCCAGGACCTGGAGATCATGACCTGAGCCGAAGGCAGATGCTTAACGACTGAGCCACCCAGGCGCCCCTAGTTATTTGATTTTATTCATCAGAATTTTTTGTTTTCTTCACATAGATTTTGAACATATTTTGTTAAATTTATTTCATTTTTGGGGGGCTAATGTGTTATTATGTTTTTCGTTTCTACTTGTTCACTGTTGGTATAGGAAAATGATTGACTTTTGCATATTAACCTTATATTCTATCACCTTGCTTTAACTGCTTATTAGTTCCAGAACAAACCAGTTCTTTTGATTTCTCTACATAGATGATCATATCATCTCTGAATACAGACAGTTTCACTTTTTCCTTCCAAACCTATATGCCTTTTATTTCATTTTTTTGTTTTACTGCATTAGCTAGGACTTGTAGTATGATGTTGAAAAGGAGTGGTGAGAGGGGACATCCTTGCCTTCTTCCTGCTCTTAGTGGGAAAGTTCCTAGTTTCTCACCATTAGGAATGACATTAGGGGCACCTGGGTGGCTCAGTCAGTGAAGTGTCTGACTCTTGATTTCAGCTCAGGTCATGATATGGAGCCCCCACCTCAAGCCCCGAGTTGGGTTCCACTCTCAGGGGGGAGTCTGCTTCTCTCCCTCGTCCTCTGCCCCTCCCCCCATGCACTTGTGCAGTCTCGCTCTCTCGCTCTCTCCCTCTCTCTCTCTCCCCCCCCAAAATAAATAAATAAAATCTTAAAAAAAAGAATGACATTAGCTGTAGGTTTTCTGTAGATACTCTTTATCAAATTGAAGGAGTTGCCCCTCTATTCCTAGTTTACTGATAGTTTTTATCATGTTAGATTTGGTCAAATATTTTTTCTGCATCTTTTGATACAATTGTGATTTTTCTTTTTTAGCTTGTTGTTGTTGATGGATTACATTAATTGATTTTTGAATGTTGAACCAGCCTTGCATACTTGGGATAAGTCCCACTTGGTCATGTTGTGTAATTCTTTTTACACATTGTTGGATTGGATTTGCTGATATTTTGTTGAGGATTTTTGCTTCTATATTCATGAGAGATATTGGTCAGTAGTTTCCTTCTCCTCTAATGTCTTTGTCTGGTTTTGGTATTGGGGTAATGCTTGTCTCATAGAATAAAGTAGGAAGTGTTCCCTCTGCTTCTGTCTTCTGAAAGAGATTATAGAGATTCGGTGTAATTTCTTCCTTAAGTATTTGATAGAATTCACCAGTGAATGCATCTGAGCCTGGTACTTTCTATTTTGGAAGGTCATTAGTTATTATTTTTTTGAAGGTTATTATTTTTTTCAGTTTCTTTTTTTTTTTAAGATTTTATTTATTTATTTGAGAGAGAGAGAGGGCATGAGAAGAGGGGATGGTCAGAGGAAGAGGCAGGCTTCCCGCTGAGCAGGGAGCCGGACATGGGACTCGATCCTGGGACTCCAGGATCATGACCTGAGCCAAAGGCAGTCGCTTAACCGACTGAGCCACCCACGTGCCCTTCAATTTCTTTAATAGAGACAGGCCTATTCATATTGTCTATTTCGTCTTGTGTGAGTTTCAGAAGATTTTAACTTTCAAGAAATTGCTCCATTTCATCTAGATTATCAAGTTTATGGACATAGAGTTGTTCATAGTATTCCTTTATTATCCTTTCTTATTTATTTATTTATTTATTTTTAAAAGATTTTATTTATTTATTTGACAGAGAGAGAACAAGCAGGGAGAGCGGCAGGCAGAGGGAGAGGGAGAAGCAGGCTTCCCTCCGAGCAGGGAGCCTGACATTGGGCTCAATTCCAGGATCCTGGGATCATGACCTGAGCTGAAGGCAGACGCTTAACGACTGAGCCACCCAGGCACCACTTTTATTTTTTTTTGGAGAGATACGTTAATTAATACTGGGCAATTATTTGTCCCCATCAAAGTTTGTTGTGTTAGCAGCCATTGATGATTCTTGCTTGAATTAGTTACTATACTCAGTGGTTTCCAGATGATGACTTTCTAATTCCATCATCATTCTTCATACATTTATTAGTTTGCATTTTGCTGTAAGGCAGAAATTTTCCTTTTGCTTATTTATATCACTATGGATTCATGGATTCCTATTTTATTCTATGGGTTCTCATCTGTTACTATTGTTACTTATTTATTTATGTTATTTATTATTTAGAGAGGGTGCATGAGTGAGTGGGGGGGAGGGGCAGAAGGAGAGGGACAGAGAATCTCAAGCAGACTCCACACTTAGGGCGGTAGAGCCCAATGCCAGGCTCAATCCCCCTGACCCTGAGATCATGACCTGAGATGAGATCAAGAGCCAGTTGTTTAATCAAATGAACCACCCAGGTGCCCCATATTGTTATTTATTTTGATGCTTTAATTGCCCCATATATGGATGAAAGGAGCTCCTTCAATCTGACTTCTGTGTCTAGTATTATCTTTTTATTTTTAACTTTTACTTATCAATATGTATTTTTCTTGATTTTTGATAATACTTATTTTAGACAATTTAATAAAATCGGAGAGAAAGAAAAATACCTGTGTCCTATTATCTATCGTCTATGTATTAACATATTTTCTTTCAGCCTTTGCTTTCATTACACTTTTTTTTAACAACTAAGTATCTATCTATTTTTTTTTTAAGATTTTATTTTTTTATTTGAGAGAGCGAGAATGAGAGAGAGTACATGAGAGGGGGGAGGGTCAGAGGGAGAAGCAGGCTCCTCGCTGAGCAGGGAGCCCGATGCGGGACTCGATTCCGGGACTCCAGGATCATGACCCGAGCCGAAGGCAGTTGCTTAACCAACTGAGCCACCCAGGCGCCCTCTATCTATCTATTTTTAAAAGATTTTATAATTTATTTGACGGAGAGAGACACAGTGAGAGAGGGAACACAAGCAGGGGGAGTGGGAGAGGGAGAGAGAAGCAGGCTTCCCGCCAAGCAGGGAGCCCGACACGGGGTTCCATCCCAGGACCCTGGGATCATGACCTGAGCTGAAGGCAGATGCTTAACGACTGAGCCACCCAGGTGCCCCTAAATATCTATATTTTTAAGTTTTTATTTAAATTCTAGTTAGTTAACATATAGTGTAATATTAGTTTCAGGAGTAGAATTTAGTGATTTATCACTTACATACAACACCCAGTGCTCATCATAGCAAGTGCCCTCCTTAATAAGCCATGACCTGTATAGCCCATCCCCCCTAGCCACCTCACTTCCAGCAACCCTCAGTTTGTTCTCTATAGATAAGAGTCTGTTTTATGGTTTGCCTCTCTTTTTTTCTCCTTATGTTTATCTGTTTTGTTTCATAAATTCCACATATGAGTGAAATTATGTGGTATTTGTCTTTGATGGACTTATTTTGCTTAGCGATGTATATATAATGGAATATTATTCATTGCACTTTTAAATGTAGTAGAGATAGAATTAGAGACAGAGATTTGCATCTCAGTTTTGTTTTTTTTTTTAACTTGTCATTTAATTATAAGCATTTCCTGAGCTACTAAGAACTCTTTCAAAACAGTATGTCTCATAACTGATTATCCCTGTGACCCAGATCCACCAGTGCTGCCCTGATGCCTGCCTGTTGCCGCTGCTTTTGGATGGCATGCTTCTCCCTCTGAAAGAAAACTCCAGTTCCCTCTCTCTTCCCCTCTTCCACATCCGTTTTTTTTTCCGGCACACTCCTTGTCCATTCTCTTGTAGAGTATTTGAGGAGCCAGTAAAAGGTCAGAGTAGCAGAAGCACAGAGAGCAGAGAGGAGAGTGACCCCAGATATGAGGTAGAGCACTGTCCTCTTGCTGGGGATAGAGCTGTCAGTGGTGGGGTGGGGAACAAAGATAGACAATAACTAGATGAAAAATCAGTAGATAATCACACCCGAAGGTGAAAAATGCTATGAAGAAAGATGAAAGGGAGTAGGATGGAGAGAATATTGGGGGTGGGTAACTGCTATTTTATTTTTTAATTTAATTTAATTTTAAAGATTTTATTTATTTGAGAGAGAGAGACAGAGCATATGAGCATAAGTGGGGGGAGGGGCAGAGGGAGAAGGAGAGAGAGAGAGAGAAGCAGACTCCCCGCTGAGCACAGAGCCCAATATAGGGCTGGATTCCAGGACCCTGAGATCATGACCTGGGCTGAAGTCAGAAGCTTAACTGACTTAGCCACCCAGATGCCCTGGTAGCTGCTATTTTAGATAGGCAGGTGGGGAAGACATCTCTGGTGAGGTGATGATATTTGAGCAAAGACCTGGTGTTTTATAGATGAGAAAGCTCAGAGAGATAAAGCAACATTCCTAAGGTTATAAGAAAGATGTAGTATTATATTTCTTTCTTTTTTCTTAAAAGATTTTATTTTTTTTAAGTAATCTCTATACCCAACGTGGGGCTCAAACTCACAACCCCAAGATCAAGAGTCACATGCTCTTCTGAGCCAGCTGGGGGCCCTCGTTTCTTTTTTTTCTTTCAAGTTTTGTAATTTATGTAGTAATCTTTACACCCATCGTAGGGCTTGAACTCACGACTCGAGATCAAGAATCAACGCTCTTCTGACTGAGCCAGCCAGGCGCCCCTAATTTTGTTTCTTTGGTTCAAAAGCCTACTATAAAGGGTACTTCTTCTGTAGGGAGTATACCTCAATGTTTTCAGAAATCTGTAGGGAGTATACCTCAATGTTTTCAGAAACCTTTGAGTGTGATTCCCAGTTGTTAGCTTGGCTATCTCGACCCTTATTCCTTGCACCAAAGCATTTCTAAGAGGTAAAACTTATGTAAGAGATTTTGTGTGCTTTGAATTTCAGTGGTGGTAAGAACAGAAAGGTTTGCTTTAAGGACATGCTGAGAATTGTTTTGGAAGTCATTTCTTAACTCTGGAATCTAAATCTAGGTTTTGGTGTCCTTAAGGTCTACTCAAGAAGGTGAGTACCCCTTTGAAAAAGCTGGAGCTGCTCCAGAGAGTCTGCCTGGAATGAAGACAGAGGCCCAGGCTTCAAAATCTTCACTGACAAAAGCCTTATCTACTGAGATAGAGCTTTCTGAGGCTTTCTGCGGAAGCCAGACTTGGGAAGATAGGAGCACAGCTAACTGGCCTCCGATGGTCTGGGTTTCAAAATCCCGGGCTTCGGAGGCCCGGATGGCGAAGTCTCTTGCCTGGGAGATTCAGGCTGGTGAGGCCCAGTGTAGAGCCAGCCAGTGCAGGCCAATTAATGTACTGGAGGTGGAGGCTACCCAAGCCCTGAACCAGAAACCCTTACCTGAGAAGGTTCAAGTTGCAGAGGAGGAAGCGAGTGAGATCCTCCATACCCGTCCATGCTGGTCCAATAAGGTTGAGTACATCCTGACTCAGGTGGGCTGCTCCATGAAGATAAGCAGTTTCTGGCGTTTCTTCCTCCTGTGGCTTCACAATGGAGGTTTTAAGTCTGGGGACCAGGAATCATGGATCCACAGGGGGCTTTAAACTCCAAGGTCTCTGGGATCTATAGATGCTGGAAGCTTGGTACTATGAGAATAGGAGTCAGGTGCCTAAATACCTAGGATCATGAGAGGGATAGAGGTGCAGGGTATCAGAATATGAGGATGGTGGGGTTGGAGGCCTGGGTCAGGGTGACTGGGGGTGGAAACTAGGCATCTGGGTCTTCCAGGAACTGGGGACCTAAGGGACACCTGGGACTATGAGGGATGTGGAAACAGTTGAGCCCTGATGCTGGTGGCCCTGAGGGAGGTCACTGGTGGGGAACGTGTTTTGCCAGACCCCAAGGAAGTCCAGGCTCTGAAAAGCCAGGTGGTTCTCAGAGCCCCTCCTGACTCCCTGCATAGGCAGTTTTCTCATCATCTACATGCTCATGCTGTTCTTGGTCGGGGTTCCTCTTCTATTCCTGGAGATGGCAGCTGGTCAGAGGATGCGTCAGGGCAGCATTGGTGTATGGAAGGTCATCAGCCCCTGGATTGGTGGTGTGGGGTATACCAGCTTCATGGTGAGGAGTCCTGGGCTGCCCAGGCCTACCCTTTATGCCCCATTCCCACCCCATCCCTTGTCCTGGGATGGGTCCCATGACTTCACTTTCATGGTTCGAGTCCCTTCAAGTCCCCAGTCCTCTCTCAAATCCTCTCCTTTTGCCTGTCCTCATCCTTCCTCCCCAGCCACCTCCCCTTTTGCCCCCAGGTGTGCTTCATCACCAGCTTGTACTTGAATGTGGTCAATGCCTGGACCCTCTTCTACTTGGGCCAGTCTTTCCACTTTCCAGTTCCATGGGAAAAATGTCCCTTATTGGAGAACTCCAGTGACTTTGGTGAGGAGGAAGTGAAAGAGGAGAAGGGGAAAACAGCTGGAGGGGAATTTGGAAGAGGAGAAAGGAGTGAGGAGGGATAAAGAAGAGGAAAATAGTAGAAAAAAGAAGAAATGGGAGGGGGAAGGAGTAGTGGGAAGTGGGGGAAGGGCTAAAGAAGAGGGGAGGGGTCACTCTGTCTAGCAGGTATGTCCAAAGCCAGGTCCCCCCAGATCCCGAATGTGCACGGACGTCACCCTCCATGTACTTCTGGTACCGGCTGACCTTGAAGGCCTCAGACAGAATTGAGGATGGTGGGTCACCAGTCTTCAGTCTGAACCTGCCGTTATTGGTGTCCTGGTGTCCTATTGGTGCTTTCATGATTAATGGGCTCAAGTCCACTGGGAAGGTAAGCCACCACTGACATTCTCGGATGCCTTAGACCTCCTCCAGCATTGTTCTCACTGATCTCCTAATTTCCCATTCCTTCTGGTCTTTGGCTCCCACTAGCCCTTGACTCTTGCTGAAAACTGTCTTCTAACTCCTCATTTTTGACTCAGCACTTAAAAAAAAATTGTTTATTTTAGAACGAGAGAGAGAGCGCACACAAGTGGGGGGGAGGGGCAGAGGGAAAGGGAGAGAGAGAATCCTTAGACTCCCCTCTGAGGGTCAAGCCGGCCATGGGGCTTGATCCCAGGACCCCAAGATCATGACCTGAGCCGAAACCAAGAGTCAGACGCTTAACCGATTGAGCCACCCAGGCACCCCCTGACTCAGTACTTTTGATCCCTCCTGACTGTTGGTGGACCCCCCCCCCCACTGATACATGGTTGCTGATATGCCCCATTCTCAATTCAGGTATTTCACCAATCCTGCTGCCAGCCCCCTATTTCATCCTTCTCTGTTTCCTCTTCCGGAGTCTACTGCTGGAAGGGGCAGCATTTGGCTTTCAACATTTGTTGCTTTCCAAGGTAAAGTAAGTCTCCCTCATTCCCCTACCAGGCCTTGGAAGACACCTACTGTCTATTGTTAGGGCGTCCTTTCCCCATTATTTACCCGTGTCCTTCCCCCTCCATTGCTATTAAGATTCTCCTCTCCTTCTTTGACATTTCTCCTTCTACTTGTCTTTTCGTTTTTAGATACCAGCTACGTACAACATGAACGTATGGTGTCAAGCAGGAAATCAAGTCTTGTTTGCCTTGGGTCTAGGCTTTGGCCCTATTGTCTCCTTATCCTTGCCCATGTACCCAGCCACCAACTGTCTCAGTGATGCCTTTGTTGTGGCTCTGGTCAACCTGTTCACCATGCTGCTGGTCACATCTTTTTCCTTCTGTATCCTGGGCTTCTGGGCTACAATCATCACACACTGCTGCAATAAGACGTAAGGCCAGTGCCTTAGGGAGGGTCCCACCCCCAGGGAACTACAAAACCCAGAGACCCTAACTTTAAAGGTGCTGCAAAGACTCCCGTTCACACCTGGCAACCTCAGGTGCACTTGCAAGCCTCTACTCTCCCCTGGAGCAAAAAACAGAAACAATAGAATCCCTGTCATATATTTTCTTGCTCTGAGCCCTTTCTGGCCCTAGAAATCTTCAAACTCAGAGATTGCTAGTGTCCACTTCAGAGTGCCACCACAGAGATAGGTTAAAAGTGGCAAACATTCGAGATCTGGAGAACTTTCTACTTCCTGAATGCCCTCACCTGTAACTTTCTACTCCTAAATTTAGAGATTTCTGTCAATCTGTCATACTTAAATCCCAAAGAGACCCTCAGAACTAGAATCTTTATTGTCGGCTCACCCCTGTTTTTCATTCTTTAGGCATTAATTTCAAAAACACCTGTTGGACATTTAGAAAGTACTCTTTGTGTACCACAGAGATGTGGACACGTCAATCAGACTATAGTTCCTGCCTTCATTGAGTTTTCAGTTTTTGAGGGGGGGGTAGGGGGAAATACATAATCGGACAGTTGTAAACTCATGATAACTAATAACAAGGATGATGGGGAAGACAATACAGAGCCATTAATTCTAAGGGGGCCAGTCAGAGACTGCCAGGGGAGGCACGCCTAAGCTGAAATTGTCCCTGGTAATCCTAACCCGTGCAGATAACCACCATTTCCTTCTAGAATAAACCTGGGCATATACATGGGCATATGTGTGAGGGTATATACTCAGGAATGGGATTGCTGGGTAGGGGGTACACACCTTGAGTTTTACCATGTATTGTCTCATTACCAAAGTGGTTTGTGATGTGTGAGAATTCCATGTATTCTACTTTCTGCACATTTGATCAGACTTGGTCAAACTTTAAAAAAATTTTTTTAAAGGTTTTATTTATTTATTTTGACAGAGAGAGACAGCGAAAGATGGAACACAAGCAGGGATAGTGGGAGAGGGAGAAGCAGGCTTCCTGCTGAGCAGGGAGCCTGACATGGGGCTCGATTGCAGGACCCTGGGATCATGACCTGAGCTGAAGGCAGACGCTTAACAACTGAGCCACCCAGGCACCCCAAACTTTAAAGTTTTTGCCAGTCTGGTGGGAGTATAATGGTATTTTTTAATGTTTAAAAACATTTTATTATGACATATTACATACATATAGAAACACATATAAAACAAAAAGTGCAGTATAAAAAACTATAAAATAAATACCATCCATGTTTGTTTTTTTTTTTAAAGATTTTATTTATTTATTTGACAGAGAGAGACACAGCAAGAGAGGGAACACAAGCAGGGGGAGTGGGAGAGGGAGAAGCAGGCTTCCCGCAGAGCAGGGAGCCCCATGTGGGGCTCGATCCCAGGACCCCAGGATCATGACCTGAGCCGAAGGCAGACGCTTAACGACTGAGCCACCCAGGTGCCCCAACACCATCCGTGTTAAGGATAGAATGACCCTAGAAGCTCTCTATGTATCTCTAATTATAACCTCTTTCCTCCCAACTACTATCCTGGCTTTTATGATAATTAGTTCTTTGTTTTGCTATATATTTTATTATTATGTATGCATATCTAAGCAATATAGTTTTTTAAAAAACTTTTTAAAAAAATTTTATTTATTTGAGAGAGAGACAGAGATAGCTACAGAGAGCACGAGCCAGGGAGGAGAGGGAGAAACAAGCTCCCCACTGCAGGGAGCCCAATGTGGGACTTGATCCCAGGACTCTGGGATCATGACCTGAGCCGAAGGCAGCCGCTTAACCAACTGTGTGCGCCCCTCTAAGCAATACAGTTTAATTTGTACCCTTATAGAAAGCAATATGTTGTTTTTTTTTTTTAAGTAGGCTCCATGCCCAACTTGGAACTTGAACTCACAACCCTGAGATTGAGTGTTGCAGGCTCCACTGACTGAGCCAGCCAGGTGCCCCTACAATAGAGCTTTTTTTTTTTTTTTAAAGTTTTATTTATTTAAGTAATCTCTGCTGTGGGGCTCAAACTCAAGACCCTGAGATCAAGAGTCACTTGCTCTTCCGACTGAGTCAGCCAGGTGCCCCTATAAAACAATATAGTTTAGTGTGTCCATTTATGTAGTTTAATTTGTTCATTTATATGTACATTCTCTTGGTATTCTTTTGTGTTTTCCTTCTTTCTTTCAACATATGTTTGTAAAATTCATCCATATTGTGTATAGCTCTAGTCTGCTTTTAATGCTGTATAATGTTCTAGTATATGAACATACCACAGTTTATCCGTTCCATTTTTGAACATTTGGAGTCTTTCTAGTTTTTGGCTATTAAAACAGTTTTGCTCTAAACATTCTTATACATGTTCCTGATGTCTTACATATGTGCACATTTGTCTAGGGTATATATCAATGAGTGAGATTGTTGACAGTTATTTATTATTGTGTAACAAATCACTCCAAAATAAGTGGCTGAAACCAAGAATGATTTATTATTTCTTATGATTCTGTAGATTGGCTGGAAAATTCTACTATTGGGCTTGCAGAGGTTAACTCACAATTCTGCATTTAGCTGGGCCCAGCTGGGACTGCACTGCTCTTTTTTATGTGGTGTTGGCTGGGCTCACTCTAGTGCTCTAGTAAGTTGGCGGGCCCACAAGGGTCGCTCTCTTCCAGGAGGCCTCTCCATGTGGTTAGCTTGGGCTTCCTCATATGACAGTTCACAGAGAACACAGATGGAATCAGTAAAGTGTCAAAACCTAAGCATGGAAATGCTCCCGTTTTTGTTGCTGTTACATTTCTTTAGTCAAAGGAAGTCACAAAGCCACCTCAGATTCACAGGGTGGAAAAATAGACTTTACCTCTAGATGGGAGGAGCTGCAAAATATTATGGCTGTGTTTCTACCACATGTATCTGTAGCTTCACTAGATAATGCCAAATTACTTTCCATAGTATTTTTAGGATTGTAATGATCTCTTTTTCTGTCTTTCTGTCTCTCTGTTTCTCTCTCTCTCTCTCAACACACACACACACACACACACAGTTGCTTAATCTCCATGGTAGAATGCACAGCAAATAGTAAAAGATTTTCTAGCTCATACCATTGTAAAAACGAACATACTAATCCCAGGGTTGACAACTTTTGTCTTTATCCTGGATTTTATAGTCAAAATGCTGTGTTCAAAAATTACTTGGGTTAGTTCTTTTTCCTTTATTCAGTATGATTGTTACTCAAGTGAAATACAGTTATGTTCATATGGAATTTTAATATCCCTCCAAACTTTTTAGTGTTAAACATTAATATGGTTTCAAAAGACAAAATTATACAAAAGGATACTCAGAGAAGTATCAATCCTCCACCATCACTTCAACCCAGTTCCCATCCATCCCCTGTAGGTAACCAATCTCATTATTTTTTGGTATCCTTCCTGTGTTTGTAGAAATAAGGAAAACGATGTATATTTTCTTATTTACCCTTCTTTCTTACACAGTAGGTAACCTTTTCCTTTTTTCATTTAATAGTATATCCTGGGAATCACTCTTGTACATTCATTCCTTTCTTAGATGATCTGCCTTAGGCCTGGTGGTAGTGCCTGCCATCCTCTGTATCTGCAGTTCCTCCATTCTTTAGAGTTCTCATCACCCCTTAGTAGGTAAGCCCTTGTTATAGTTAATAATTGAGTGCCACAGGGCACCTGGGTGGATCAGTCGGCTAAGAGTCCGGCACTTGATCTCAGCTCAGGTCTTGATCTCAGGGTTGTGAGTTCAAGCTCTGCACTGGGCCCCATGCGGGGCAGGGAGCCTGCTTAAAAAAAAAATTGGATGCCTCAAAAATTCAAACCATTTTCTCTTTGAAAGATATACCCATTAAGATAATGAAAATGCACATCCCAAAATTGGAGGAATGTATATATTTGTACATTTATATTCATAATATGTAAAGAACTCCTGAAACTCACTAAGAAGACAGTCCAACAAAAGTGTGCACTTAACTTTCTACAGTCCGCTTAGAATTAATATTTCACCACTTTAAGTGGAATGTAAAATTTTACCATCATACAGGGCCCTTTGTCCTCCAACCCTTTCTGATATAGTTGCCATATGTACTACATTTACTTGTATTGAAAACCTCATCAAACAATGTTACAACTTTTGCTTTCGATTAACATACATTTGCTTTCAGCTGACACATTCTAAAACTTAAGGGGAAGAAAATACCCTATTATATTTACCAGTTTTGTTGGTTTTCTTCCATTTCTGGAGTTTGAATTTTCCCTCCTGTATTATTTTCTTTCTCTCTCTCTTTTTTAATAGATTTTATTTATTTGACAGAGAGAGACACAGCGAGAGAGGGAACACAAGCAGGGGGAGTGGGAGAGGGAGAAGCAGGCCTCCTGCGGAGCAGGGAGCCTGATGCAGAGCTGGATCCCAGGACCCTGGGATCATGACCCGAGCCAAAGGCAGACACTTAACCAACTGAGCCACCCAGGCACCCCCCTCCTGTATCATTTTCATTCCACCTGAAACCTTTAATGTTTCTTATATGTTGGGAATGAACCTTTCTAGTTCACTTCATCTGAAAATGCCTTAATTTACGTTTATCCTTTTTTTGAATTTAAATTCAATTAGCCAATAGTACATCATTAGTTTCAGATGTAGAGTTCAGTAATTCCTCAGCTGCATGTAACACCCAGTGCTCATCATATCACCTGCCCTCCCTAATTTACCTTCATTCTTGAAGGATATTTTCATTGGATAAAGAATTGTAGGTTGACAGTCCTTTTCCTTCAGCACTTAAGAAATGTACTGTTTCCTGCTGGCCGCCATTTCTGATGAGAAATTTATAGTCATTCAAATTGTTGTTCCCATATATGTAGTGTGTCATTTTCTCTGGCTGCTTTCAAGATTTTTTAATGGTTAGTTTTCAGTTGTTTGATTTTGATATGTGTGGGCATAGGCTTTTTTAGAGTTTATCCTGTTGGTGGTTCACTGAGCTTCTTGAATCTAAAGTTTTATGACTTTGGCCAAATGTGGGAAATTTTCAGCCATTATTTCTCTGAATATTTTTTCTGCACTGAACTCTTTCAACTCTCATTCTAGACTCTGATGACAGATCATAAACCCTTTGTTAATGTCCCATAGGTTTCTGAGACTCTGTATTTTTTCCCCCTACTTTTTTGGGTCTGTTGTTCATACTGGATACTTTTTTGTATTGATTTATCTTTAAGATCACTGACACTTTCCCCTGTCATCTTCATTCCGCTATTTAGCCAATCAAGTGAATTTTTTGTTATTGTGCTTTTTAGTTATAAATGTTCCACTTAATATTTTTCTTACATCTTTTTAAAAAAAGATTTTGTTTATTTGAGAGAGACAGTGAAAGAGTGAGCGAGCACGAGCAGGGGGAGGGAGAGGGAGAAGCAAACTCCCCCCTGAGCAGGGAGCCCCAACGTGGAGCTCCATCCCAGGACCCTGAGATCATGACCTGAGCTGAAGACAGACGCTTAACTGACTGAGCCACGCGGGCGCCCCTTTCTTACATCTTTTGTCTGCCGATAGTCTAACTTTCCATTTGTTTTAAGAGGGTTGCTCTGACTTCCCAGAGTGTGATTGTAACAGCCGCTTTGAAGTTGGTATGAAAACTTCTTTGTCATTTTGAGGTTGGTATGTATTGATTATCTTTTTCTTTGTGGCATGTTAAGGTTTTCCTGGTTCCTGATACATCAGGTAATTAGTATCGTATTCTGATTATTTTTT